TCTGTCACACTATGTCTCTCTCTGTCTCTCTCTCTCTCTCTATTTCCTCCTTCTCCTCTTTTTTTAATTTATTTTTTTTTAATTCCTGTTTTCAAAGTTCCCACGGAAACCAGGGGACCGCCCAGCGGCGGCGGGCGCGTCTCTGATTGGCTGCGGGCAGCTCGTTTGCATTGACGTCAGTAGAGGCTGTAGGTCAATCCTTGCGGGTGCTTTTATTGGATGTGCCGCTGTCAAGCAGCGCTGAAGAACCGGAGGAGCAGGCGCCAGAAAAGGCAGAGAAGAGACAAACATCCGAAAATCTGCATTATGTAGCCGGGCTCTGCCTCGCTACACCTCCGCCCTCGTCAGCCTCAAACCACCCGGCCGTCCGCGACTCCGGAGCCGAAACTTGCGGACACGGAGCGGTCTGGTTTTCCCCCTTTTTCTGTCTTGTAGATTTTCCTCTCGCTCTCCAGAGGTGGCACCTCCACACACCGCAGCCGCTGCATCCTTCATGCTTTTTATTTTCCCAGCAGAAATGAGAGAGAACCGTGGAGCCTGGTGACGCACCCCGGGGTCTGGAGCTCTTATATCAGGCGGATCATCCTCCACCGGGCAGCGGATGCCTGAATGGAGCCTGCAGGATTTCTCCACCACCACCACCGCCGCTGCTGCTTTACACCGGTGAATGTGGCCTGATCCCCGGGCAGCACCGTCGGACTACACACGGCAGTATGTTCCACAGAGGAATAATCCCACTGTGTCTCTGCGGTGCCAATATTTCCCCCTGTTGATGATGAACCTGGAGCTGAAGTGTCGTGAGAGCCGGTCTGTGGCCCGCGTCTGCAGCTGAAGTGGACAAACAGATTGTCAGGAAAAGAAGAAGAAAGAAAAGATTGATAGAGAAAGAGAGAGAAAGAAAGAAGCATCATATTTGATGGCTCCAGGGTGGTGGGGGAGGACGACTACACATGAAGCCTTCATGGACACAAAAAATGGATAAAACTATTGCATGAGGCTGGAGCAGGAGGGGGGTGGATTGCATGGTGTGTGTGAGTGAGTGTGTGTGTGTGCATGTGTGTATATGTGTGCATGTGTGTGCATGTGTGTGCTTTAAGGCCTGTACTTGATAAGTTGAGGAGAAAATGGTGATGTGGTACGAAGAAGGCCGGAGTGAGGGATGAAGTCGTCCATGGGGGATCTGAGCTGAAGAATAACTGGATCCAAGTTTCCCAGGATAAGACGAGCCACCGTGATTAGAGACCCTCCAATTAACTTCATGTGAAGAAGAAAAAAAAAAAACAACAAGAGGGAGGAAATCAGCTTCCTGGTGTTGGGGGGTGGGTGGGGGATAGATAGATATATTATTCATGCCTTGTGTTGGAGCGTTTGGAGAACCGGCTTTGCTGTGGCCTAGATGACACATATTTATACATGTATATACGAAACGAAATGAACCCTTAGGAGGAAGAGTGGACCCTAACTACACAGGAAAGTGGTGGGGGAGAGGCCAACGACACTCTGCTAGCCTCAAAGTAAAGCACTTGCAAAGCAGAAAAAGAAAAAGAAAAAACAAAAAAAAAGGCTGAAGTGGGTTGAAGCATGGGCTGTGCTTCAAGTATTCATATCTCTGATAGGGTGGTCTACCACAGTGGAAAAGAGTCCGAGGATTCCCACTCACCCCAGCAGACTAATACCACTCAGCATCAAGGAAATCCTGCCTCGGGACTACCCCTGAAACCCCCGAGCTGCAAGGTGAGGGAACCTACATATTGATTACATTCACAGACACGGGAACAAAAGTGTGTGTTGCATGCATTCAAAAGACAAAGAATACAAAGAAGTGTGTGTAAGCTGTCACATTTAAAGGGAATATTACAGACAAATATACCAGGAGACTCAAGAGACGGGGCCTATAGATCTGAGTATTTAACGCAGGAGGCTACTATTTTAAAAACATTTTTTAAACTTTCATTTTAACCCTGTGTGCAAGGACACCTCTCCTGCTTTTCTTATTTTAGAGGAACTAGGCCATGATACACACTCACAGTGGAAGGTCGCGGGGTCACGGGCCTCCACACTAACCTGAGGTATTGTTCTCCCTGCTGTTTTTACGTAAGCGTCAGGACCAAACAAACATTTTGAACCACTTTTCAGCTACGTTGTGTGTGTGTGTGTGCGATCTTGCCGCTGGAGCCGTGCACTTTTATAGAAGCCAAGATCTCAGCATGAAGCACAGACATCTGTTGTCAGACGCGATTCCTTTTCGGCTCACTCATGCTCTGGCCTCTGCTTCACCTCTCCACCACTTACGCTGTTCAATAGGATGTCCTGTCCTGCGGGATCTTATCGAGGCCTCATCTTTGAGCCTCATGCATACATTTAGACCAGGGATTTATAGAAACGTTTAACTGGTAGTGTTATGAGACACATAAGTAGTTATTGAGAAGGACTTTTAAAGCAAAAAAGTTTGCCAATCAGTTCATGGCATCATCGCACAAATACAAAGATAGTTCCATTTGTGTATCAGATCAGAAACAGTGACGCTAACAGAGGAAAACAAAATGTGTTGCGCCTGCTCGTGTTCAGTGGTTAAATTGATGTTTCTAATCAGATGATGATTATTCTTGTAATTATTTAGAATGAATGTGTTGCACATAGAAACTACCTGTCACTGTCATTCAGATTAACGGAAGTGTTTGGATGTCTTTTATTTTTGTGCAAATTAAGATCCTGGTCTTTCGGTTTGAAATCATTTAGCTATGTTGGTGTGAGAGCAGTTCATATCTAAATAAAAGAATAATGGAGTAGAAATCTCATTGATGATGAAAACAAAGGGAGCCGGTACTGTAATGTCTTTATGGACATCTTCAGGCACAGGAGACGTATGACCTAAATTGTGATCTTGTGAATTTAGTAGTGCATTAGTGTGCGTCTGCATGTTTTGTGTATGTTTTCGTGTGCTCGTCTGACAGACCGCAGGCTGTCTGAGGGCCTCTGTCAGGCTGGATTTTGTGGCCAAATGTCACCGCAGGATGCAGTGAGAAGTCAGCGTGACAGATGCCCCCATGTCAAGAAGCCCACTGTGCCTTTTGATTGAATTAGTCCCCTGATTGAGTTAGACTAATGGTCTCCCTTCAGCTGGAAATGGTTAATCCCTGTTCTGTAAGGTGTCGTCTTTAACATCCTCTGTGGGCCTCCACAGCGAGTGGGACCAGGTTTAAGTTTACTGTGATGCAAAGAATAACGTTTCATCTTGTGTTGATGCGTTGGAGACTCAGTGATTCGTGTTTTGATTTGCTCCGGAATCATGTGATTACATCACGTAGATTTCTGCAACATGTCGTCGATGAAAGCTGTAATTTCTCTCATTCCATTTCGATTATATTTGGGATTTTACACTTTGAGAGATGTCACTGTTTTATTTGAATGAGTAGAGCCGCACCTGACCCCTGTCAGTGTCACCAGAAAGTAGACCTGAAACTGCTTCTCAATTAATCGATGAGTTGATCAACAGAAAAGGAATCTGTAACTTTAAGTAATAATGTCAGTCGATCTCAGGTTCTGGGTTCTTAACTGTGAGGATTTGCTGCATTTGTGATTATAAGTTGAATATTTTTTTGAGTTTTGGACAATTTCAAGATTTCACACTGGTTAAATAGTATTTTTCAACCAGGAAATATATGGCAGATTAATCTGTAATGAAAATAATCATTATCTGTGTCTATTCGATCGTCATCTCAAGTAGTATGTTTGTCTACTTACCTCTACCTCTGACTGTCAGCAGGATTACACCAAAACAACTGCACAGATTTCCATGAAACTCGATGGAAGGATGCACTGTGGGTCAGAAAGAAATTCATAAAATTTTGCTGTTGATCCAGATCAGGAGTCGGATACAGGACTTTTTTTTTATCACTTTCTTTAACTTTGTGATATAGGGTATTTTTCAACAATTTCCTTGATTTCTCAGAGAATAATTCATGGATCTTTATTTTAAAGAGGGAACTTGTATTTATGAGTATCTGCAATTTGGTGCAGATCCAAATAACAATCCGGACCTAGCGAATTTAATTGTAGTTTCATAAGGGGTCTGTTCCTATTTTAGTTATGATATGCTTTGTTTTTTAGTCTTTTTGTGCATGTTTGTACTCCGGCCTGTGTCATTGTGATTCTGAAGCTAACACACACACATTCATCCCCTGAAGGATACAAATATTAGTAACACTCACATCTACACAGAACAGGCAGCTGCAGCACAGTGCACGAGTTTAGCGTCAAGCAAACGTAAAAAAAAAAAAAAGTGTACTGTATCTTTACGTCCATTTGTTTTACACACTCGGACAGAGAGAGAGGGAAGAGAACATGTGCAGGCGTCTGCAGTGTGAGAAAGATTCAAGATTCTGAGTTTGGGAGTGTGATGTGAGTCTTTGTCAAGGGTACGTTACCATCTGGGCTGCTCTGGTGATGATAAAGCTCAAGTACAAGGTCCTGCGATAGTGTGTGTGGCAAAAGAGACAGAGAAAGACCTCAGCCAAACACAACACCATTTATCTGTCCTTGACTTTTCCCGTCTGACTGCCCCCCACTCAAGGAAACCAAGTAGCGCCCCCCCCACCACCACCACAGCCTCCTGAAGAGCAAATGTAGAATCAGCTTTACCTTTTTTACTGTAAAAAAGGGAAAATAAAAGGTGCTAAGCTTATAAGTATCTGGAGAGTCGTATCATCACGCTGCCTGATTCCAGCCTCTGCATGCATTGACACAAGTGGTGGAGTCACTCAGCTGTACACCTCAGACCCCCCCCCCACACACACACCACCACCACCACCACCACCACGTTAAACCCTCCCAACCCAAAACTGACAAGGTTACTCTTCTAGACCAAAGCCTTAGTCGGGAAACACTCGTCCTAACTGTTACTAACTGGCAGCAAGTCTCCAAACCGGACACGCAGTTCATCTGCTGCAGCCTACTGCTTTTTGGTTGTAGTAAGATATGATACACTGCTGACCTGCCCCCCCCACCTATTTGTCTGTTTTCTCTCCCACCATTTTTGCGCGCTCTTCGGTCAGTTGTGTGTGTGTGTTTAGTCTAACTTGAGAGTCATTGGGTAATTTATTCCAGAGGAGGGCAAAGGCTTAGCATGGTGATGAATTAATCCACTGTGCTTTTTCTGCTGGCTGAGAGCAGCCACACTGATATTGGCTCTTTTTCTTTCTCTCTCTCTTTCACTTTCTTTAATTTGACTATCAAATATGCTTTGCTCTTAACCTTCCTTTTCTACTGTTCTATAAAAACTTAGACAGTACTCTGTGAAGTTGGTCCATTCATCTCCACTGAAGTGAAAAAAAAAAATCACATATATATATGATTTAATACAATAGGAGCCATCTCCGTCTGTGCAGCCATAGAAGTGTCAACATCCAGTTGACTCAAATGGCTTCACTGTTGTCTCTACAGCTGCCTCTAAAGGACTCTGCTTATCTGTTAAGGATGTCATGTCTGTACGTACAAGGGCCTTTTATGACTCCAAGAATGGCACCAACCCCTGGAACAGTGCAGTAGTTAGTAGTTCGATTCCCACCGGGGCAAAGTTTCGTCGCTGTGGACCTGCTCACAAACAGCACAGGTTGTTTTTTTTGCATACATGCTTATTTTACTTGTAAAATAAATGTTAGACGATAACATTGACGCCACTCTCATGTCTGTGCTGGAGTGCGGCTAGCGTCGCAGTGTCCTGTCTAAACCTGACTTAAGCGGAGACAAAATGAGCCGAGCCAGACCCGAACCCGACTAATGTTGGCCACCGAAATCCTTCACTGACCGAATCCCAATGCAGATTTCAGTCACCCCATGTGTTGAGTTAACATTACAACAAAGTGCCTAAAGCTGAACGATTGACTTGTGGCTGTTTTTCAAGCGACAGGAATCAAGGCTAACTGTTTCCCTCTGTTTCAAGTCTTGGTGCTAAGCTAACTGTTGGTTCACATTTAATGGAGAGTGGCATTGATCTTCTAATCTAACGTTCGTGAAAAGAGTGAATAAGCAATTTTCTCCAAAATGTCAAACAATGATTTAAAGAGGGTTAAATTTCATTGACATGAAAAGAACCACTTGGATTCAGGCTTTAGCTGTTTGTAATATTTTATTTATACAAAACTTCAGCTGCAGCGAGACCCTGTGTTTCTCTTCCTGTCTGGAGTGTCTGCAGGGGCAGTTAAGGGGTAATTTTTATTTTTTTGCTATGTCATTTATCTCATTTATCTTATGTGCCATAAGCAGAAGGAGAGGAAGCGAGATGGGGCCCATGGAGCGGCCACAGACCACTTAATGATCTCTAAGAGTTCATGGTTTAATGTGTTTATGTGTTTTTTATACATTTCTATTTACATTTGACTTATTTATTCTAAGAATCAGCTTGTTCTTGAGCATGGAGCAGCTCCAATACTTGATGTAATGACACCAAAGTTCCACTGCCAACAGCGGGAGCGTTAATCCCTTGTAGAAATCAAATTAGGATAATATAAGAAATCCCTTTGTCACCTTGTGTGCAGATACAGTGGGTGTCTTCATCTCCGAGAGCTCTCTCACTTATGGGCTGTCAGTCGGGGTATGTACTTGTGAGACAGAACCTCCCATTGTTTTTGAAATGGTCTTAACAAATAGAGCCACATTCAAAGCTTGTTCTGCTCCCCCTTCAGGTTGAGAATTTGATGTCATAAGGTCGGCATGTGATAGTTTCATGAGATTAT